TGCCTGAGCTTGAACTTCTTACAGAAACCCGAGGCCCTCCCATTCATGAGGCCATTGTGGGGAATATTTCTTCCAGAAATCCTGCTATAAGTGCATCCTGGTCTACGTCCTGTCAACATTGGGCACCAGTCAAGATGAAACTGCCTTGCCATCTCTTCTCTCCCAGATTCTCTTCTCTACCATGTTGTCCTTCCCTTCTCCTGCCTCAATCCACGCTTTTTCTTTTTCTCCCAAATCTGCCCATGGTGCTCCTGGGAAACCCCATTTCCCATACACAAACCCCACCAAATTTTCAACATCACAAAATGTTCCTGTGTCTCCTCCCCTGAAGAGAAACCCGGACATTCTGAAGGAAATTGCTCGCCCTGCAGCCCTGACCACTTGCTTCTTGCTCTCACACACTCCACGTACCTCCTCAGGTAAGAGATTAGCTTGACAGCATCTTCCCTCAGCAATTCCTCTTTCCTTGAAGACCTTTAAGACCCCTGATCTGGCTTTGCTGCCCTTCTTTCCTCCTTCCTCTCACTTGTGGACGTCCTCATAATGGCTCATCATTTCCCGTAAACCGTGGCTCCTCATCCACCACCTCTGTCTTTCCCCAGATCTGTCATTGTGGATAGTTGCATCAGTGTCCATATGAAAGACCCATCCAGCACTTCTGTGCCTTATTTCTTTACCTATTCAACTCCAAATGCCATCACATTCACTTACTCCAGTTGCGGTATCTGAGACCTCACCACCGCCTGAAATGATTCCACCTCTAACATCTTCAAACATTCCATTAATGATCAAAATCTCCTATCCTTATATTTCTCTTACTATAAAATTTCCATTTTCTGTTCTTGACTTTCTTTTTTCTTCATCCTCTCTGTTTCCTTTTCTATTTAATGTAGACCTCATAGCCCATTACTTCCACCACTTTCTCTCCAGTTTCCTTCACTGCTTTCCCCTATGTCCCTGCATCACACCTACCCAGCAACACTCCAAGCCTGGAGAACCAATCCACCTGCCTTCTGTGCCCCATACATAGTCTAATGGGCACTTATGGGAAAAAAAAAAAACCCAAAAACTATACCAACACATGTAGTCAAGCCACTGTGAACCCATGGACTCCAACTAGGTCCTCAGTGGCTGCCTGACAATCCCTCTGTTGCCCAGGTAGATTACTTCTCACTCTCTATAGAAACTATTTTAAACGTCTGTCTCCATTTTTTTAACCTATATCCCACCACCACTCACTCTCCTCTCACTTGAAACTTAACCTTAAGGAAAACAGAAGTCACCATGTGGAAACTCCCTCGGCTTTGTGGCAGCCAGTGCACACATTTACTTGTGTCTGTAGCTCTTCTTTCTTCCTTTTCACATTGCCGAGATGGGACAGGAGGACTGCCTCTTAGTCTATTCTTTCTACCTCATAGTGATCTCATCTGGTTCCACCATCTCTCAACATTGTCTCTTCACTCTTGCCCTTACACTACCTCCTTCCTGGAAGCATTTAAAAAGACCGTAGGATCTCCCATCTTGTAAAAAGAAAATTACAGAATTCATTAAAGAAAAACTCCCAAATCCAAATCCACCCTATCTTATTTTCTCCCTTTTATAGACAAGACCCTTCAAAGACATGTCTGCCCTCAGCATCTCCACTTCCTCACTCACACTGTGTTCCTTGGCTACTTCAGTCTGTGTTTCTAACTCCACTGAAGACACTATCACTGAGACCTCCAGCCCATACTGTTAAATCTTTTGAGAACTTATTTGACCACTGTAACTAAATGAACCGTATCCTCTTTGAAGTTCTTTTTTTTTTTTGAGAGGGAGTCTCACTCTGTCACCCAGGTTGGAGTTCAGGGGGGCGATCTCGACTCACTGCAACCTCAGCCTCCTGGGATCAAGTGATTTTCCTGCCTCAGCTTCCTGAGTAGCTGGGACTGCAGACACACACCACCACACCTGGTTAATTTTTTTTTTTTTTGTATTTTCAGTATAGACAGGGTTTCACCATGTTGGCTAGGCTGGCCTTGAACTCCTGACCTCAGGTGATCCACCCACTTCAGCCTCCCAAAGTGCTGGGATCACAGGTGTGAGCAACCATACCTGGCCTGAAGCTCCCTTTCCAGGACTTCTGTGAGGTCACTTTCTCTTGTGTTCCAGCCTACTTCTTTGGCCACTTCATCTTAGCCTTTTTCTAGGAACCTCTTCTGGTGCCTGTCTTGGGAATGTAGGTAATCCTCAGGGTTCTGTCCGGCCTTCTTCTTTTCTGTGCTGAATGATCTCTACCATGGCTATGCCTTCAATTATCAGCCACATTGTGTCAGTTCAGGCTTCCCAAGAAGACTGAAAATGTGCATGAAGGATGAAGGTGAGGGAGCAGGAGTAGGTTGGGAAAACATTCAGATCATGATGTTATTCTGACACAAGTGAAAGAAGAGTCGGGAAGAAGAAGGTCTGGGTAAGAAGAGTCTCAGATTTCCAGGTAGTTCTAAGAAAGTCCCAGTCAGGCCATCTGGAATCCTGGAGCCCAAGTTGCCTGTTAAGTAGTCCCATGCCAGCTGGGAAGTGTTGTCTTGGTGTGAGCGTGGTGCTGGATCCAAAGGGAGCCTGGCTATGCTTCTCAAAGCAGGTTCTCCTGAAGGAGGTGTGAGCAGTACACTTTCATGGCTACCACACATATCAATAAATTCTAACCTTGACAAGGCAACAGAGTCCCAATGGAGCTCTTTAAAAACCTCTATTTCCAGATCCTACTGCCTGAAAACTTTGAGATTCAGTTGGTTTGGGAGGAAATCAGACATCTTCATTTGCAAAAGAAAAAAAAAAGCCCCATAGGCAATTCTGATTCCTGACCAAATGTGGTAACAATGATCTTTACGCTGATAACTGAAATTGTTCTATTCACTCTAGGTCTCCATCCTGAGGTCCACACCCATATAACCAACCGCCCACTGGGCATTTCCATTTGGATGTCCCAGAATTAAAGTCAATGCAGTCTGTTCCAAGCTTGTATCTCCTGCATTCTCTATATCAGTGAAGCTCAATTTCACCTTTCTGTGTAGAAACCAAAAACCATGATGTTGTAACTGACTCTTTTTTCTCCTTTTATTCCTCGTAGCCAGTTCATCACCAAGTCCTGCGGATTCTGCTTTCTTGATGTTTTCTGAATCTCTCCCTTAACCCAGTGCCACTATGTTAGTTCAAGTTATTCTTGTCTCCATTTTTTCTCTTTCAGTTCATTATTCTTACCATAGCCAGACTTCCATACCAAAAGTCCAATAATATCCCTACATCAGCTTCTCATAGTTCTCATGATAAAGTCCAAAATTCTTTATATATTACACATTTAGAGCCCTGTTTATCTGCTCTGTCTCATCTCTTGACATCATCCTACCTCCTGCAGAGCTACCTGTAGTTCTGGAAGATCTCCAGGCCTTTGTAGCAGCTGTAACCAATCTCTGGAATATTTTGCTCCACTTCCTTTCCTTGCTAATCCCCAGTCTTTCAAGGATCCATCCAAATGCATTTTCTTTGCAAGTCTTCCTTGAGGTCAGTGTCTCTTTCCACTTCCACCAAGACTTGGTTAGATGCTCTGTCACTACCATAGCGTTCTGTCACTGCAGGTTTCACAATGATTAATGTGATCCTTGAAGCTGTGGATGTGCTCTCTTCACTGTCTTAGTGCAGTGCCTAGCACAATGGAGGCACTCAGAAATGCTTGTATATAAATGAATGAACCAATAAGTGAGTGAGTGAGCGAGTGATGTTTTGGCCTCTGTACTAGACATTGGAGCTGTAAGCTGTATACCAGGAGGGCTATGAGCAGCAGAACAAACACAGGCTTTGAATCCCTGCATGGCCACTTTCTGGATAATATTGGGCAAGTACTTAACCTCTGTGGCCTTCAGTTTTTCCATCTGTAAACGGAAAAAAATATCCTTCTGGGTTGTAACAATTAAAGAAATCATCATTTAAAACATGGTGCCTGTCATACAAAAGGTACTCTCTAATATTTTAGTTTCTTGACTCTCTTCACTTTGGCATTATCTCAGTTTAACTCTTCATCTAATCGAATCTAATAAGCCTTCTTCATTCTTTCACCCTTAGAGCTGTTTCCTTCCTGTACATTACACCATCTTCCCACAACTCATCTACATAGCCACCCTCTGCTTTTCTTTGATGTCTTCCAAGAGCCGATTCCTGTACCTCATTGCTGAAGCAGACACCACTAATGGTTTTTGCAGAAGCTGTGGCGTCAGACACTGCATCAGATCCATAAGTTACTGCACATCCATGTGAGCAAAGGATAGGGCTTGAATTCCCAGGTGGGAAATGATAAATATAATGGCTGAAGTGGATACCATTAATGGTTTTTGCAGAAATTGTGCTGTCAAATCCTTAATTACATGGATACTTCAACTCCCAATAGTAACCAGGATAATAAATTCTGGTGCACCAGAAGTTCTTAGCCAGATCTTCTGCATTAAAACATTAGCTCACGTAAGTATTTGATAGGGACAAAGCAAGAGCTAGATAACAAATCCTTCTCACCCAAATGTTCTTAAGAAACTGACTTAGGACCCCAGTCCTACATAGATTAATTAACCAACTAAGGCCAGGCGTGGTGGCTCACGCCTGTAATCCCAGCACTTTGGGAGGCCGAGGCGGGTGGATCACGAGGTCAAGAGATCGAGACCATCCTGGTCAACATGGTGAAACCCCATCTCTACTAAAAATACAAAAAAATTAGTTGGGCATGGTGGTGCGTGCCTGTAATCCCAGCTACTCAGGAGGCTGAGGCAGGAGAATTGCCTGAACCCAGGAGGCGGAGGTTGCGGTGAGCCGAAATCATGCCATTACACTCCAGCCTGGGCAATAGGAGTGAAACTCTGTCTCAAAAGAGTTTCATTAGCTGAACCTGGCTTCCCTAGGTGTACCATTATGGTAATATAAAACATACTATATTAACTGATGACAAGTTTAGTCTATAAAGTATGGAAATTCTATCTGAACCCACACCTGAAAACAAATTCCTAAGAGCAAATGCACAGGCTAGGTACTAAACTAAGTGTCCTGAATGTAACTTATTTTTCTTTCTGATGATTTAAGGCCACCATCATGAGTACGGATGACAGCTATGCCATGATGCACTGCTCCTGTTTGGGCATGGTGGTGCGTGCCTGTAATCCCAGCTACTCAGGAGGCTGAGGCAGGAGAATTGCCTGAACCCAGGAGGCAGAGGTTGCGGTGAGCCAAGATGGCGCCATTGCACTCCAGCCTGGGTTACATGAGTGAAACTCCGTCTCAAAAAAAAAAAAAAATTAACCAACTAATTAAATCTGGTATTTGCTGAGTGCCTTCTATGTACCAAGCACTCTGAATGGTCAATGGATAAGTACAGTTTGGAACAGAAAGCAATTTAACACAGGAACTAATAGCATGGGCTCTAGATTCTGTCTGTCCAAACCCAAATCTAGACTGCATCGTCAGCTACTTGGGTAACCTTCATCATTAACTGTTCAGTGCTTCATTTTTCTTGTCTGTAAATTGGGGACAATAACAGTACCTTTCTGATAAGGTTGTAGGGAATAAGTGAATTAACACATATTAGGTGTTACTGAGAACAGCGCCTGCCACTGTATATACTCTTAAAAATGTTAAGTACTGTTACTGCGCGACACAGAGCCAGGGCATCCAGCCCAGGCTTGGGGACCAAGAAGGGCTCCCTGGAGGAAACGACGTCAGCACTGAGACCGGAAGGATGAAGACAGGCGAAAGGAAGAGTGTTTTAGATAGAAGGAAGTGCATGTACAAAGCCCCACAGGACAGTGACCTATGATGCAAGGTGAAAAACTGTAAGGTTGAGAGCGGCTGAGTTACTGTGTGTGTGTGTGCGTGTGTGAGTGTGTGTGTTGGAAGAAGGAGGGCCATAGAGAGATGAAAAGTGTCTCCTGTAGCTATACTCTCCTCCACCGTGCTCTTTGCCCCTAAGCTGGCTTGAATATACTACTTCAGTGGTTCCTTTGTCTACTGGCTTCCAGTTGTATTTGGCCAGTGAGGAGGCCTGAAAGGCCGTGAGAGGGAAGGAGGGGAGTGAGAGTGGGATACAACTCCCCTATTTCCCTTCCTGCAGGGTAGCAGCCCTCCTCACCCAACAGTCTTCCCCAGGCATGGTAAGGAAAGCACCCCAGCCCAGGAAATTCCCGGGGAAGGAAGGGCCAGCCCGACATTCTTTGGAACTCTGGATCTTTCTTTTTTGTTGTTGTTTTTGTTTTTGTTTTTGAGGCACAGTCTTGCTCTGTTGCCCAGGCTGGAGTGCAGTGGCATGATCTCGGCTCACTGTAACCTCTACCTCCCAGGTTCAAGTGATTCTCTTGCCTCGGCCTCCTGAGTAGCTGGGACTATAGGCGTGCACCACCACACCTGGCTAATTTTTGTATTTTTAGTAGAGATGGGGGTTTCACCATGCTGGCCAGGATGTCTCAATCTCTTCACCTTGTGATCCACCTGCCTCAACCTCCCAAAATGCTGGGATTACAGGCGCGAGCCACCGTGCCAGGTTGGATTTCTGGATCTTTCTAACACCCACTGGATGTTTCTCTCCCTATCCCAAGTGTCAGCCTGGAGGAGTAAAGACGAGAAAGGTCTTTTTCTTTTTGTAAGCCCTCCTTCCTCTTAAAATTCGCTAAGAACAAAAAGTTTGAAGTTCGACTTTTCACTTTCTCAGTTATGTGCTCCTCATTGGTTGTTTGCCAAAGCAGATGGCTTTATGGCCTAACCATCGGATGGGACTGGCATCAACCAGTCTGCGCTATGATGTAAACCTCCATGCTCTGAGCGCCTCATGAGTGGCTCTGGCAGTGGTATCCTTGGGATGACTTCTTCCCAGGAATCACTTAGAACAAATACTTTGGTTTAACATACTCATACTATTTTACCTGTGACATGAAGACTAGCAATAATGTAGATAGCATGTACTACCCAATTCCTGGCATGTAGTAAGCAGCACTTACCATATGGTGCCTGTTATTTTATAAACCAGAGACAGTGCAGTGATGTGAATATTATTCATTCCTAGGCCATGATTATGAAGGGCTCTCTCTGCTGCCTCCAGACTGCAAAACCTGCTTGCAGAGCCTTTCTTCTTTATTTCATTTTTGCATTTTGTGGTTTTTAACCCTGCATCTGGGGTTCTTCTGTGTAGAGCTGCAGTGTAATAGAAAAAGTTGTCTCTGTTATTACCTGCTAAGCTAATCTGTCGGTAGCTCTGGCTCCCAGCACTCCCCCACTCTGCCCCTGGGAAGTACATCTCGGAGAAGGAATGAATCAGCAACTATAGCTGTCCCTGATTCCAGCGCCAGCAAAGCTCTCACCTGTGTAACTTTCTCAGGACCACCAGCAAATTAAAATTGCCAGGTATGAGGGCTACTGACAATACCAAGCTTAGCTTCTAGGGGCACTCTGATCTCTCTAGTCTCACGGGGGCTGAAGAGATCCGGTAGAGATCATAAAAATGGGCTTTTTTGGCTAGATGCAGTGGCTCACACCTGTAATCCCAGCACTTTGGGAGGCCAAGGCAGGCAGATCACCTGAGGTCAGGAGTTCAAGACCAGCCTGGCCAACATGGCAAAACCCTGTCTCTACTAAAAACACAAAAATTAGTGTGCATGGTGGTGTACACCTATAATCCTGGCTACCCAGGAGGCTGAGGCAGGAGAATCACTGGAACCTGGGGGACAGAGGCTGCAGTGAGCCGAGATTGTGCCACTGCACTCCAGCCATTTACACAAAATAAGCTATTGATCCTAGTGTAACTAGAAGACCCCCCAGACTGGTTTAGTTTGCACAACTTTGAGGGTTCATAGGAACCATGTCCTTCTCTTCAATGCGCTTTCACTTGGATGGTAGACCATAGTACCTGAACTCTGAGCGTAGGGCAGTTTCTGGGGTGGCACTATGTAAGATAGGGGGTTTTCTAAATCTTTTTCAGAATCTCGTAATCCTTTCCCTTTGTAGTTTCCCAGACCATCCTGTCTGGCACTGAGAAGCACCACATACCTACTACTGTATAGCAGACCTGATCTCTTTCTGAAGTAGGAATGCATTCTACCTGGTCTTGAGACTTTTCACTTTCACCTCCTGGACAGAATGAGGCCTTCTAGACACTGGAAATCCTCTCTTAGTTCATGATCCAGTTATTTTAATTCTGTTATTTTTGCCTGACCTAAATCTTTAGTTGATTGTTAGAGCTGGTTCTAGCTCTAATTCAACTCAGCATCATTTTTTTTTTTTTTTTCTGAGATAGAGTCTTGCTCTATCACCCAGGCTGGAGGGCAGTGGCACGATCTCCGCTCACCGAAATTTCTGCCTCTCCGGTTCAAGCAATTCTCTCACCTTAGCCTCCTGAGTAGCTGGAATTACAGGTATGTACCACCGTGCCTGGCTAATTTTTGAATTTTTAGTAGAGACAGGGTTTTGCCATGTTGGCCAGGCTGGTCTCAAACTCCTGATGACAAGTGATTTGCCCACTTCGGCCTCCCAAAGTGCTGGGGTTACAGGCATGAACCACTATGCTCGGCCAGCATCTTTCAAAGTATGGTCTGGGGACCAAAGACATTACCATGACATTGGATGTTTATTAAAAACAACCATGTCCCTCACTCAACACACACACACACACACACACACACACACACTCTCTCTCTCTCTCTCTCCCTCTCTCTCTCAGCTACTTGAATGTTAGATATAAATTTTTATCAAATCAAATTTAACAACATAGTGAAAGAATAGTACACCAAGACCAAGTGGGAGTTATTCCGGGTATGCAAGGTAGGTTCAACATTTCAAAATGAAACCATGTAATCCATCATATCAACACACTAAAAAATAAAAAGTATATGATTATATCCATTGATAAAGAATAAAAGCTTTTTAAGAGATGGGGTCTTGCTATGTTGCCCAGGCTGGTCTTGAACTCCTGGCCTTAAGCGATTCTTCTGCCTCAGCCACCTAAAATGCTGGGATTATAGGCATGAGCCACTGCACCCAGCCAAGTGAAAAAATTTGATAAAATTCCCCATCCATTCATAAAAACTCTTTTATCCATTGATAAAAACTCTCAATATACTAGGAACAGAGAGAAACTTCCTCAACCTCACAAAGAGCACCTACAAAAAACCTACAACTAACATTACACTAAATGATGAAAGACTGAGGGCTTTCCCCCTAGGACTGGGAACAAGGCAAAAATGTCCATCTGCTCTCATCCCTCTCATTAAACATAGTACTGGGAGTTCCAGCCAGTGTGGTAAGGCAAGAAAAGGAAACAAAAGGTAACCATATTACAAAGAAAGAAATAAAACTGTTTCTATTTGCATGATTATCTACACAGAAAATACAAAAAAAAATTTTTTTAAACCTCTTAGAATTGACAGGTGAGTTTATCAAAGTCTCAGGCTACAAGAAAAACATACAAAAATTAATACTAGCTAAAAAAAAAAAAACCCACATGGACACTGAAAGAAAAAATACAATATCATTTAGAATTGTTCGAAAACCCATGACATTCTTAGGTATAAATCTAACAAAACATGTATAGGGTTCGTATGCTGAACACTGTAAAGTGCTGATGGAAGAACTTAGAGAAGATTTAGATAATTGGAGAGGTATATCCCTGTTTGTGAATTGGAAAACTCAACATAGTAAATATGACAGTTCTGCTGAAAGTGATATACAAGTTTACTGCAATTCTATTCAATATCCCAGCAAGATTTTTGTAAATATACAGCTAGTGCTCGACTTACGACCACGATTAGGACCGGCAGACCGGTCGTAACACGATTTGGTCGTAAGTTGAGTAGGCTATATGTATAGTTGAAATGGTGCACGCGGAGATGGTAGTGCTGCCAGAAGCTGGTCCACACTGTCGTACGCCCAGCTGGGCAACGTTTGCGCTGCCAGATGCAGAGCAGTCGTGGCTAGCGATTGTGGTCGTAAAGTCGAATGGTCGTAAGTTGCATGGGTCGTAAGTTGATCAATACCTGTAAATTATTCTAAAGTGTGTACAGAAAAGCAAGCAACTAGAATAGTTTAAAAGTTTTTTAACAAGAATATAGTAAGAGAAATCAGTCTATTCAATTTCAAGGCTTATTATATAGCAATAGTAATTAAGACTGTGTGGTATCAGTGAAAGAATAGACACATCAATCAGTGGAATAATAGAAAACCCAGAAACAGACCCACACAAGTATGTCCAGCCAATTTTTGATGAAGGTGCAAGAGCAGTTCAATGGAGGAAAGATAATCTGTTCAACAAATGGTGCTGGAGCAATTGACATCCATAGACCAAAAAAAAACCCTTCAAATCTCACATCTTATGTAAAAATCAACTCAAGGTGCATCATAGACTTATACATAAAATATATAATTATAAAACTTTTTTTTTTTGAGACAGAGTCTCACTCTGTTGCCCAGGCTGGAGTGCAGTGACGTGATCTTGGCTCACTGCAGCTTCTACCTCCTGCGTTCAAGCAATTCTTGTGCCTCAGCCTCCTGAGTAGCTGGGATTACTGGTGCCCACCACCATGCCAAGTTAATTTTTTATATTTTTAGTAGAAACGAGGTTTTTCCATGTTGGCCAGGCTGATCTTGAACTCTTGACCTCAGTTGATCTGCATGCCTCGGCTTCCCAAAGTGCTGGGATTACAGGTATGAGCCACCGCAGCTGGCCAGAATTATAAAACTTTTTTTTTTTTAACGGAGAAAATCTGCAGGATCTAAGGCCAGGCAAACAGTTCTTAGGTTTGCCAACCAAAGCACAACACATTTAAAAAAAAAAAAAAAGAAGAAGAAAAAGGATAAATTGCACCTTATTGAAATTTAAAACTTTTGCTCTGGGAAAGATTTGGTTAAGAGGACAAAAAGATAAACTACAGACTAGGAGAGAAGATTTGAGAACCTAACAAACAACTAGTATTTAGAACATATAAAGAACATTCGAAACTTAACAGTAAAAAATAAACAATACAATTAGAAAAGACATATAGAGAAATTTTACTGAGGAAGTTATATAGATAGCAAATGAGCACATGAAAATATGTTTAACAATTAGTAAAATTCAAATTAAAACCATAAGATATCACAATATAATATCAGTATGACTAAAGCTCAAAACACGGACAACACCAAATGCTGTCAAAGACATGGAGAAACCCAATGATTTATCCATTGCTAATAGGAAAGCAAACTGGTACAATTACTCTGGAAAATAGTTTGAAAGTTTCTTTCAAAACTAAACGTGAACCTACCATACCACTTAGCAATCTCACTCCTAGGTATTTATCTTGGAGAAATGACAAATTATGTTCACTGAAAAACTGCACAGAAATGTTCATAGTATCTTTATTGATAATCATCTCAAACCAGAAACAACTCAGATGTCTTTCAAAAGGTGAATGGTTAAACAAACTATGGCACATTCAGACCATGTGACAGACACTACCAGGCAACAAAATAGAACAAACTGCTGATACGCATAACCTGAATGCATCTCCAGAGAATTATGCTGGGTGAAAAAACAAAAAACAAACAAAAAAAACACACAATTCCAAATGGTTACAGAATGTAAGATTCCATTTATACAACATTTTTGAAATGACAAATTAGAGAAACAAAGCTGCTGTAGCCAGGAGCTAAGGACTAGGGTACGGCATTAGGGAGTAAGTATAGTTACTGTGGGGGCCAAGGGAAACCCCCTTCTCACTCTGAAGCTTCACTGAAATTCAGCTCACAAATGGCAGATTAATGGGAGAAAAGGCATACAAATACTATTAATTTGTATAAACAGAGAGAACCACAGAGTGATTATCCACCCCCATCAATGAGGTTCAGAGGTTTATATCCACCCTGGCAAAACAGGTTATGGGAATGGAGAGAAGAATAATTCTGTTGAGGGAATTACTAGAGAGACTGAATGGATCAGGGAATAGAGATCAACTTGTATATTATCCTGTGAAAGGGTCTTTTCAGGTGTGATTACATTTTTGGTCTTACAGAGAGGGAAAGAAAAAACAATTGTTCCGTTTGGTGGATCTGGATCTTAAGCAGATAAGGGAACTTTATCTTGTGGTTTAGGAGGGAAAGTTGGGGGAAGAGGGGAAGGTCAGAGAGATCTTGAGGCTACTTCACTTTACCATGTCCAAGCGCCATATGTTGTGGTATCAGTTTCTGAGTTCCAACACTGCAAAAGGGCAACATAAGAGATCCTTGTGGTGATGGAGCTGTTCTGTTCTGTACCTTGTTTGTGTCAATGTCAATATCCTGGTTGTGATATTGTACTATAGTTTTGCAAGAAGTTACCAGGAAAGGAAACTGAGTAAAAGGAATATGAGATCTCTCTGCATTGCTCCTTAAAGCTGCATGTAAATCTATAATTATTTCTGAACAAAAAGTGTAAATTCATAATGAAAAATGAAAATGTTAATTAGTATTCAACAATTGTTCAATATTGTCATCGTGTACCAATACTGAACATCACTTAGTTTGGATTTATTAGGTCAGTGCAAAAGGAATTGCTGTTTTTGCCGTTAAAAGTAATGGCAAAACCTGCAACTCCTTTTCACTGACCTAATACTTGCCATTAAGCTCACTTTGCTAATTTACAAAAATGACCAAGCTCTCTGCCTCCACCATACTCAACACACACACGTCCACACAGACTTAGATTTTACCTAATACTAGTCTGCAGGTCTGGTGCAGTATCTGGAAATCTGTATTTCTAGCTCTCATCCCAGATAGTTCTGAAGCACAGAACTATTTTTTTCTTTGTAATTAGTCTATTAAAGAGACAATACATTTCAAGAATTGCTTAAATTCTGCTACCCAGATTTAAGCATGTGAACATATGATGAGACTTTTTAAACATATAATTAAAGCTGTTCATCATAATTTGCTGTACTACCAACATTAGTTACTTTGGAGCCTAAGTCAAATGGTTTAAAGTATCTTATAACGTACCTAAAGAACACCGTCCTATGTTATGCATGCAAATCACTTCTCCACGTAAAGGTCTTTTCACTTTAATTTCTATGTTACCCAGCTCTAAAGTCACTGCTTGGGGTTATCATGGTCCACAGACAAGGAGGGGGGCAAATATCAGGACTGGTCAAGATATATATGGATCCACATATAAATAATGCTTTAGGTGAAATTTGGCATCTTTTAGTTGGAATTTGGCATCTTTCCCCAT